GAGTGTGTGTGTGTGTACGCGTGAGAGAAGTGAATATTCAGAACACTTACAACCTTTGAAATTATCCATTATCAGTGTGTGTGTGTGTGTGTTTGTCCACATGTTCATCTGGTTGTTTGAGGAGTGTGTGTGTGTGTGTGTGTGTGTGTGTGTGTGTGTGTGTGTGTGTGTGTGTGTGTGTGTGTGTGTGTGTGTGTGTGTGTGTGTGGTGTAATGAGGCCAAGGAGAAGTCATTTGTCATGGCATCTGATAGCGTAGCACCAAGCAGCGGGCTAAAGCTCCCTGAGCACAACCGAGAGAGGAGGGGGTGGGGCAGCGTTGATGATTGACAGCGATAGATAGCTGTCAGTCACTGAGAGCGAGCGGGATGGGGTGGGGCAGCGTGCTCTATGGCGGAGCGGGCGAAGACATCGGTGACATTTAGTCCGAACCAAAAGCCTTGTCAGCCGGATGACGAGAAGTGAGAAAACAGAATACATGATATTCATATTGCTCTAATCAGTCAGTGTTGAAAAAATAGACACGATCAATCAAGCAGTTTAGAGGGTTGATATAGATAAATAATGATCATTTATTATAATACATCATGACTACGTGACCCTTAAAGTGATACTGATACCAGTACATTCATTTGATCCCCATCATGTTCAGTTGTTTTCTATCAGATGCAACAGGTGTTTACAGTAGTTACCTCACACTGCATGGGGCTGTAGCTGCTGTGGTAGTGGACCAATCACACGCCGCATTGATCAAAGAACGCCTGCTGTGATTGGCTGCAAGCAAAACCTTACAAAAAGTATGATAAGACGCCATAAACAATATCATATCTAATTATGGCTCAGCCGTCATATATCCTGGTTTTCAACTATTTTAGATGGCATAAAATGTACATTTTTAATATTTTTGTGATCTTCTAAAAATCTTGTATACCCGTTGTGTTCTGCCTGCTGCAATAACAACAACAACATAGAATATTTACTTGTGATTTAACTGCAGTCAGTTCTGTCTCCTACCACCAAAAAAACAAAAACATCCCTGAAAGACAGCAGGTCTTCTCTCAGTATCGGTGTCTGTGTGACGTGATCAGCTCATCAAGCTGCAACAGAAGACGCAGAAAGAATAAATCGTGACACTGAGGTCAAAAACACTGAAGCGCATGTCAAGACCAACATCGACCCTGAAACAAAACCCAGCTCGAGAGCCTCCCTCCCTCCCTCGTACGGCTCTCACGTTCTCTCGCTCTCTCTTATCTCTCCCTCTCTTTTCTCTCTCTCCCTCTCTCTCTCTTTTCTCTCTCTCTTTTCTATCTCTCTCTTCTCTCTCCCTCTCTTTTCTCTCTCTCTCTTTTCTCTCTCTCTCTCTCTTTTCTATCTCTCTTTTCTCTCTCCCTTTCTCTTTTCTCTCTTCTCTCTCTCTTTTCTCTCTCTCTCTCTCCCTATCTCTCTCTTTTCTCTCTCTCTCCCTATCTCTCTCTCTTTTCTCTTTCTCTCTCTCTTTTCTCTCTCCCTCTCTCCCTCTCCCTCTCTCTCTCTTTTCTCTTTCTCTCTCTCTCTCTCTCCCTATCTCTCTCTCTTTTCTCTCTCTCTCTCCCCCCCTCCCCCTCTCCCTCCTTCCCTCCCTATTGAGCAGCAGAGTTGTCGCTCTCTTTCACGGCCTCCACTGAACAATGTGAGCACACTTTACTCCCCTGAATACGTGTTAGAAACCCAATCAGGCCCTCTTATTCCCCCATATTCTTTCTCTTTCTTTTATCTCTTTTCTTTTATCTCCCTTTCTGCCGGGGGGAGGAAGTGAGGTAGGAACTTTAAACAGGCTCGTTGTAAAGGCAAACTCCTCTCTGTTCTCCCTTTTCTTTTCTCCCGCCGTCAGTTCTTTCTTCCTGCCTTGTCTCTGCGAGCACAAACACCTACTTCTCCATCAATAGAACGGGTACAAAAGGAGGTGAGAGTGAAACCCCCCCAACAAAAGACGTCATAATTGATTGTAAATTGAGAAACTTCTCTCCGTTAAACCATCTTTTTATTCTCCTTTTCTTTCCTTCTGTTCTTTTGTCACCAGTTAGAAACGAATACTGATTCACTTCATTCTGAGCTGTGTCCAAAATCACTTTCCACATAATAAACACTCCGTAGTGATCAGTAACGCGTATGTAATATATAATTATACTTGACACAAGAAGTTCACCTCATAGTTCTACGTGGGACCACCTGTTGATAGCTCCGTGCTTAATTGATGGACTAATATCCAAATCGTAGGAGGTTGATCTGGTAAAATCAATATCGCAATACCAGCCAAATTATATAAGAACACAGTCACAAGACTATACAGTATGATAACAAGATTAACAACATTAAGCCACTTCAAGTGACTAATATTTATGTATTGTGTTATAAAATAATGATAATCTAATAAGAACATGGGGCACACAGTCAATATCTTTTGTAGAAGTTGTAGAAGAAGAGTTGAAGTTGCTCACTTAGAGACGGTAGTCGTAGAAGAAGCTCACAGATCTACTGGATGAAAGCAAATCAGGGACTTAATGAAAGAAATCATACGCGCTCAATAGACTCCATTTTTCTAGATAGATAAAAGGAAGGAAAATGTGGACAAGAGCTGAATAGGAGTCAGCAAGGCTCTTCAAAACGATCCCCGGGGTAAATAACGGTTAAAGACACTCGGAGGAGGGTTTGGAAGAGAGACTGATAGACCTGAGAAGATCTACGGAGGCAGTGAAACAAACGAGCGCCGCAACAGGTCTGAATTAGATCAACACTATCAAGCAGCCCAGATACAAGCTGTGATACCTGGGACAGATGGATTGTGTGTGTGTGTGTGTGTGTGTGTGTGCGCGTGTGCGTGTGTGCGCGCTGTTAATCTATTTATTTACCTGTCATTGGCTGCGATAATGGTTTTCATCCTCTCTCTCTCTCTGTCTCAGTCTATCTGGTGATGGGGGATTGGGGTTTTCGTGTGTCGCTTGATAATCAAACCTGTATTTTCTCATCAGACTCTAATCAGACCAATTACACGCGTGACGGAGAGCGTGGGCAGGTTGATGTAGGGAAGCGATAAGGGGACACACACACTTTGGGATTAAGCGCTCTGTCTTGGGGTATCTGTGTCTCTTATCGGGGACAACCATCCCTGACATGACCTGTCAGCAGTCATGCCAAAGGTGTCTCTCACTCACAAACACACAGGCACACATGGATCATGCATGCAATGCACCAAATACAACCCAGGTTTGAATAAAGAAACCATACTCCGTCCATTTTTCAAACCAGTTTGAATCTGTAATTGAAAGTTTGTCTTTTTTTTTCAGGCATATGACGGCTTTGCGAGCCTCGGCATCTCCCGTCTCCTGGAGCCGTCGGACATGGTGCTGCTGGCTATTCCCGACAAGCTGACGGTGATGACCTACCTGTACCAGATCCGGGCCCACTTCTCCGGCGAGGAGCTCAACGTGGTGCAGATCGAGGCCAACAGCAGCCGCAGCACCTACAAGGTGGGCGACTTCGAAACGGACACGAACGCCTCCATCGGCCAGGACAAGTTCTACGCCGAGCTCAACGACGTGCAGCACCGCCAGGTGAACTCTGAGGCCGACGAATCCGCCGGCGGGGTCAACGCCGAATCTAACGGCACCGAAGCCGCCGAGGACGAGGCGGCGGAGCCGGGTCGGAAGGCCGGAGAAGTGGGAGCGGTCAGCTCGGCGGCGGCGGGGCCTTCGCAGTCCTCCCCTCCTGTCCCATCGCCACGCACGGCGTTACCCGCCACGACGACGGACTCGACCCACAAGACGCCGACGTCGAGCTCCGAGGACCGGGCGAATCTACTCAAAGCCAACACTCTGGACCTCAGCGAGCTGCCGCAGAGAGTGGAGAGAGAGATGGAGAAGGAGAGGCAGCGGAAGGATGAGGTGGGAGAGGAACGAAGGGAGGGAAGTACAGACCCGGGGTCCCCCACCAGGAGAGGGGCCTCACCGCCCCACCAGAAACTGGGCTTCTCCTACAACAGGGACGCAGACCTCATCAAGAAGAAGAGGGCCAGCCTGCGTCACTCGGAGTCTGAGCCCGCCTCAGAAACCAGCTCCCCTCCAGTCAACCACACAGCCACGCCTCCCAAACAGGTAAACACCCAGAGAAGGAACTCACTGAACATTTAAATACAACAAGAGGAGAGTGAAGAAAGAATGTATTTGTTTATTTCCCTTTGTACTTTGGTTTTGTAAGAGCTAACATCACTTTTTTTTTTTACATGCTTTCCATTTTATTTCTTATTTCTTATGTTTGATTAATCCCTCTGTTTTAATACAAGAGAAGCAAAGATGTAGAAACGGGAATATTTGTGAATATAGTTACACCCGTCCTTCAAGGGTCAGTAAGCGATAGATTAAACTATCTCACAGCTAATTATACGTCCTGAACCTCAAACAACCTCTGGATCCTTCTGTGTGACGTACACTAATTCACATCTCGCTACTTAAGTCGGGTATTAACATTCTGACGGCGTCTACCTGCACCGGCCCTCTAAATGGATCCTTCATGTTTTGTTTTTTTTTGATTGAAACTTCCACTGCTGCATCCATCATAAGACAGAGGGAATCGGTGAACACTCATTTCCTCCCCGGCGCTTTTCGCTAAGCTTCAAAATCCCGACCTCGTCGATGCCGTTGCAGAGATGACCGAAAAAATTCTCCCGTTTCTGCATTAGATGTTTGTCGTCGCCTGTCTCGTTGTGCCGAGAGCCAGACGCGTGGCAGGCCGGGGCCCCTTTAACACGTGGCGACTACAGAAGGAGAAACCCCCTGCTTTTGACATTTCATTATATTTTTCATTATATTTCTCATCCCTTCAGTTGATGGCAGTTGGTGCCGCGACCGCTCAGGCGTGGCGACGCTTTGCGTGGAGCACACCTCATCTCAGTCACACACACACACACACACACACACGTTGAATACATTGCCGCCTGCGTCGGTTAACCCCAGATTACCGCTTCCTGTTTACAAGTCGAAAGGTCACGGGGGGGGGGGGGGGGGGGGGGGCGGGGGGGTTGTGACAGTTATGACACCCTGTTTTGATCCGCTGTTATCAAGTTAGCGGGATGCTTCCTCGCCTGCGCCCGGGCCAGATTTGACTTGTTGAAAGGATAAACACTGTGTTTTAACGCTGCTCCGTCTGAACCAGATGTAGACGCTCCGCTCGCCCTCTTCGCTCCCCCGTTATTATACAGCCGGGATTACCTGGCAGATAAAATTCTAAGCCAGGTGTGTTTTTGCTTTCTTGTCAAAGCCGTCATGCTCTCCACACCACTGGACCCAGTCAGGAGCTGTAGGCTGGCCCCATAAAGTCCTGTTTATCATGGGGGACGTGTACCCGACTCCTACATTTAGGTCCACTTGTCTTTTCTACCCCCACCTGCTCACGGTACAAACAGGAAATAAGAAAACATGCTACTCTAGGTCAAACATTGATCATTTATGTCACTTATTGACTAAATTACACAAGTTCGTACATTTTTTTAAGAATCATAGATGAATGGAAACCAGTCCAGACATATATTATTAATATAGAACCAGTAACTTGGTATTTTTTCTCACACACCTGTAGTTAATGTGGTATTTTGTCTTTCAAAGGAGCCGACACCTGCCCCTGTATCAAGTCCCCCTGCTGAGAAGGTGAGTACACATTTTAAGTGACGTATAAATGACACAAAAATGCTAAAAACACTGCCAGTGTATTAAGTGTAGGGCTTTTATTGTGAAAGGTAAGAACAGCAGGAGTGGATCTGGGAGTAATAAAAGTCTTGGTTTGGACTACGTTCAGCGTTTCATAGATATAAGTGCAACTTAACTTGTGATTGGTGACTAAGGTATGTTGCTCTTTTGCCGCATAATATTTCATGTTCTGTGTGAAAGTAGTCATGACAAAAACAGCACAAAAATACATTAACGTGCAAATTAATCGCACAAAAACAAGACCCCGGTGGGTAAAGGTGAAATAGAAATACTCATATTCCCATATTTGAAGAGTCAAATAATATGCTAGAGTCTCCCATTACTCTTTTCTCACAAAAGAACGCCGTGTTATAAGAGCTCTGTGTGTTTTGTTGCACACAGAAGGTGCTGTCTCGTCAGGAGGAGCTGAAGGAGAGAGCCCGCCTCCTCCTGGAACAGGCCCGCAGAGATGCTGCGATGAAGGCCGGCAACAAGAGCGTCCCCAACTCAGCCGCCACGGCACCAAACAGGGCCACGGGCGTCTGTGATGTAAGTCGTGTGTGTGTGTGTGTGTGTGTGTGTGTGTGTGTGTGTGTGTGTGTGAGACTGAAAACCGTTGCCAATCCTTACTCTGATACTTGGATAATAAATCTATTTGATTTTTAGTTAAACCTGCTGTTGTGTTTTGGAGGCGATTGAGATCACATGGCTGCAGGAAGTGTCCAAAAGTTCTCCGTACATACTCCGAGTATAAAGGAAGCTTAAGTGAAGGCCGTCCAGAGTTTGAGTTGTCTGCCTCTTTGCTCCGTGTGCACTGCGGTGCCGTGCAGCGTCACCTCAGTGTGCAGCAGCAGCAGCAGCAGCTAATAGAGTGACCAGCAGCCTCTTCAGCTACCCTCCTTGTCACTTCCATGGCTCGCTTTTCGCTGCTCGCTACACTTGCAATGCGCTGGAAAAGCCCTGTCTCATCCTTTGGCAGTCCACTTTGTTGAACACTTTAGAAGGAGTCGAGACTGTTTCTTTCCTTATTAACTTCCTGCTCAGACTCTCTTATGGGTGCTGAACGTCACAACCTGAACATGTCAGTAAGAACTATGGATGGACTCCCTTCTTCTCTCTTTAAACATTTCTCTCTCTTTCAGTTTTAGTCGTCTTGACTCTGCACAATTTTTTACGACATCCCAACCAAATTTGCTGTCCCCTCAATTTCCCCCGAACGCTGAGTAAATGTTGAACACACACACACACACATACCTGTCAGCAAAAGTACATTCACGGTAAGAAAAAAGGGTGCCCGGGAATTGCTGTTCCGAAGCAAACTAGACTAGAGAAGACATGAGTGAAATTGCAGCTCTGAACCGAGCACGGTCCACTGAACATAATATACTGGGAGTAGGAAGGGGGGGGGGGGGCACACACAGATGGACCAGGACTTACCCTGGGAAAGCACTGTTGTCAAATCCTCGGTGACGTTTCCGAATGTTCCAGAGAAAGGGACGGGGGTCTTGTGAGAATTGTGACGACAACGAATTTGAGGGTGAAAATGAAATAAATACTCTTTGGTAATGAAATATCTGAAAGGCAGCAGCCGCATTCTGCTGCCTGAATCCTGAAAGAGATATATGCCCTTGAATTAGATGCTTTTTACAGTGTGTGTATGTGTGTGTGTGTGTGTGTGCGCTTGTGTACATGAGTGTGTTGTTTGTGTGAGTTGGTGTCCGGCGTGTCCGGCCGCGGGAATAACCGTTTCCACATAATCTTCGAGGAAAATAAATGAGGAACCTCGAAGGACTGGTGGCGTTAAAACGTCTTCAGAGAAAGAAGGCAAATTAAAAGAGTATTTCAAAGCTGCAGTTATATTTCCTTGGCGACAAAAAAAAAAAAAAGAAAGGTCCTCTTCTGTCCCTTGGTGTGCGGCAAGATGGCCGACTTCACTTAGATTAGCTCCTTAAAGTATCCAGACAAACCCGTCGCTCCCCCCCTCCTCTCTCCTCCTGATTTCCTTACTCATTTCCAAGGACAATTGGTTAATAACCCCCCCACCACCACCACCACCACACACACACACACACACACACACATAAAGGAAGGGAGCGAGAGGAAGATATTGAATTGTTTACACTTTTTTTAATAGAAAACATTGATCAAAGGAATACGACTGGCCTTGAGGCCAATGTGCTGATAATTGTTAGTGATTCAGATTAGATTACTTGATGTCTTGTTTTGATTAGCGCGTGTGTGTGTGTGTGTGTGTGCGTGTGTGTGTATGTGTGTGTATCCGTGTTATCAGCTGGAGAGGCCCTAGCCTTTCCCATTTAACTCTCCATCCGTCTAAGTAGGTGCTTTGCGGTTTAGCATGCATAAGGTATAATTTAATTCAATTAAAGCAGGCGTCATTCTTCCAGGGAAGTGGCTAATGTGGGGCCAACAGAATGATTTGGGCGTAAGGGAGAGGAGGGGCTGCATTGTGTAGCATTTAAAGCACAAATGACAAATCGGTTAGTCTGAGATCTGTTAACTAAACTCTTATTAAAACATGTAGAAGTTTTCATTTTTATGTGACAGAACAAACATTGAAAGATCACCACGTCAGACAGTTAGATGTCCATTCTACCCCTGTTCTATTTCTACGTTTCTTTATAAGAAGTAATTCTGTCACCAAGTGGACAATAAACCCTCTCTCCCATCATGCACCTGTGCAAACAGCCCCCTCACACCTTCCTCCATAGCTTTGATCTCGTAATGTAAACCTCTGATTTATCCTAGTTCTTCATTTCCAAACCTGAGGAAATAATTACACTTAACAGTTGTGTTTCAACTTTGAAAACGATCAAAGAAAGGTTGAATATATTCAGATTACAGAGAAGTGTTAGGATCTACTGTTCTACTGTTATCTCCTGTGACATCTTTACATTTACAGGAAAAACATCAAGTCTTTATTTTAATATTGATGATCTATCGTTAAATGTGATCAATTTAAAAGAACAACTGGTGACAGTTGTAGGTCTCTACAATGTATTATGCATGAATAAAAACACATGAACAGCTAAACAGTCTGACAGCAATATGACTGTAGTGTGTGTGTGTGTGTGTGTGTGTGTGTGTGTGTGTGTGTGTGTGTG